TTGTATTTGAAAACATTGGACGAGAAAGGTACCTACTAGTTTTTTTTCTATTACTAGCCATAGATTGTTTTCATTAGCGAAATAACCCAAAAAAAGGAGGAGGTTATCAGTTCGTCGGAATATTTTTATTTTCTTATTAATTTTTTTATTTTTTTTTATGTATGTTACTGCATAACTTTGGACCACGTCAATCGATCAGCGGATCATGATATATATATATATATAAAAATACAGTGCTGGAAAAAATTATAGAAACATACAGCTTTCATATATTTTTTATTGTTTGAAGAACTCTTTCATTTTTAACACATTCCGATTTCGTACATTTCGTTTACGTTAAATAAAATCTAGTGTTCTTTTGCAATGGCAATAAGCCATAATAAATTGTGGCCCCTTTTTTAATTTTGGCCTGGAAGATATAATAGAAACAAAGTATTATTTCTAAATAAACTAAGCTTTGAACCAAAAATTCTTAAAAAAATATTATTGTTTTAGTTGCTTATTGAATCGCCGCATTGCCTGATTACCTCTTCGCATATTCGGTGCACCGAATTGACGAAGTTTGCACAAACACTTTTCGGAATGGAATACCACGATTTTTGAATGTGGTGCCCAAATTCGTCTTTATTGCGGGCTTCAAAAGGCCCGATTCTCTTCTCTAAGTCTGCCCAAAGGTGCTAAATAGGGTTGAGGTCTGGCTATTGTGGCGGCCACTCCATAGCCTGCACTGTTTTCTTCTTTAACCACTACTTTACCAGTTTTGATGCATGTTTAGGATCATTATCCTGCAGTAAATCCCACCGCAATAGCATTTCCTCTTTAGCATAGGAAAGCCTTATCGTCTGTAATATGTTTACATAGTCAAGCGCGCACATTTTGTTCTTAATCCAAAGTATTGGACCAACTCCTTCCTTCGGGAAGCAGCCCTATACCATAATGGAACTCCCGCTGTGCTTAACCGTTTTTTCGTGTCTTGTGGATCAAAGGCTGTGTTCGTAGGACGTTTTACTATTCACTATTTTCCATCTGATCCAAACATATTACTCTTTGTCTTATCAGACTGCAGCACTTTTTCACCATTTTGACGAAAAAGATGTTTTCTGGCAAAACCAAGTGTGCTGTTTTTGTTTTTAAGGCTCAGCAACGGCACCTTTCTAGAGATTCTGGCAGAAAGTTTGGCTTCTGCCAATCTGTACGTCATGGCTCGGCTTGTGACATCGACATTCAATTCTGTTTTCAGCTTTCTTGAGGACAGAAAAGGGCTAACTTTGTAATGCCGAATTAAACGCCTTTGATCGCTAGCAGTCAGTTTTCGCTTTGCACGTCGTGTTTCTGGTTTTTTACGCTATGAAGGGCAGGGAACACCTTCGTTTTGGAACAGCCCACCATATCTACTATCTTAGTCATCGAATTTCCTTGTTTTCTTAAACTTATTATTAAGTTCTTCTCCCCTTCCGTGCAGTGTTTAGCTCGGCCCATTTTATTCATTTTAATGTTTCAATAACCTATAGTATAACTCTACTTTAGTTAACATTCTTTAAAAAACGCAATTAGAAGTGCCAAAAATAATTAATTTACCTTTTGTAAAGCACCAATATTAACAAACACGTTTTGTTTCTATTATTTTTTCCAAGCGCAACTATTCAATTGTGTACTCTCTCGCACATAAAGTGGAAAGGAGACAAACAAGCGGAATATAATGTTTTGCAAAAGAACAACCTTTAACTGATATTTGTACAGGGTGCGCCATTCCAAAAAATATATGATATAATTGATTTAATATTTTTCCATAAGCTGTTTCTATTATTTTTTCCAACACTGTATATATACATATTTATATATATATATTTTTTTTTATATGAGAGTTAAAGTCGGTTTTTTTTCGCTAAAATTACTTGTTGTCATATAGCGTTGAGTGGAAATATACTATATGTTAAATAAAATAAAATTATGTTTCTACTTACGATACAAAAATTAAATTCGGCAAAGTTTCTTCATAAATTATTTGATCTTTGTTATAATAATTTTCATCCTTGGGTAGTGGACCACTGTATTCAGGGTTTATAACAACACACTCGCATGATGATGAGTATCTCAAAAATTCTGGATGATTTCCTAGAGTAACATCTATGTAACAATTGCAAAGGAAGAAAACAAAAATGTAAGAACCAGCAGCGATTTAATGCGCTGAAATAATAACTTACTATGTTTACCAATGATCACTTTTTCGTGATAGATTAAATACATCTCAATTTCGCCATTGGGCATGTGCGGTGGCCACCAGTGGAGAACCTTAGTAAATACATATGTACATACATGGAGATTTAATAAATATATTAATAATATGGTGGCAAATTTCGACATACTATTTTATCGATGGCGATTGCAGTGTAATAGACTCTCCTCACCGGTCCCGGTTTACTCGGTAGCGTACGAAAGTATTGAATTTTTGAATAGGCATCTACTTGTATGTGATAGTCAGTCATTGTTAAGGTTTTCGCAAAGTAGGCGTATTGTGTATAAGGCTTCAGATTTGAAATTATATAGCGCACATTTTTGGTGGGATTTATATCCATGCGCCAACTGTAAAAGAGTGTAACTATATATTTTAGGTTTCAAAATTCCATATATGTATGTATACATATATATGCATGTATTTATGTACATACAGTGACTCAAACAAATGTCCACGTGCTGATTAATTTTATTTTGTTTAATATATTTTTTCTATAAAAATACCATCCACGCTTTGCCCGAAAATATATAAATCACAAATTAAAACTGTATACAAAATTTAGGAAAATTCATAAAATTTTCATCAAAATTCCAATTTTTTAATCCGAATCTTTAGAACATTTTTGCGTATGCATGCAATTTTGGTCTAATGAAGTGCAAGTTTCAAACGGCTAAAAAATCATGTTCACTTTTGAGATTTTTTTTCGAGACTACTTGTCGCTAACGGTCTGCAGTGTTTTATGTCACAAAAAATTTATGTTTATAATTCGAGCTTTTATTTTTTGTCGCACAACAATTAAAATTAAAATTAAAATTGTGTTATAGTCATTGACTCTGTTTTTCTTTTCCTGTGCTTATCATTTTCTAATATTTGCTACATTATGCCCTGTTTTTGTGGCCATAGAGTTGAGCGCGCCCAAACTTCAGTGCAATGTGATCAGTGCAGAGAAATTTTCCATTTGAGTTGTGTTGTTGGTAGCCTGCCTGCCGACTTAAATAACCTAAATAATGCTGACAATATCTACATTTGTGGTTTGTGTGCTGCTGATCAACAAGACGAGTCTATGACTTCGAATAATTCTTCGTTACAACAACAACAAGCCACTCAAGTGCAAGTGCCTAATTCCCACACTGCTAATGACAATTTTGCTGAGTTGAAATTACTTAACTCTAATCTTCTCTCTGCCTTGAATGTTTTGCATGAAGATAATGAGTGCTTACGACAAAAAA